GGGGGCGGCGGAGAACCGGAGCCGGGGAACCGCCTCTGCACCCCGCCTGCACCCGCACCCGCCGGGCCCTTGGAGTGGAGCGGCGGCGCCAGGCCCTCCGTGGCCACCTCCGCTGGCCATTTTGTCTGTTGGCTGTCCATCCGTTTGTCTCAGTAATTTGGGAGTCCTGCTTTCTCTCTTCGCCCAGCACTCCCTCCCTATGTTTCTTTTTCGGTCCTACCCTCTCCCTTTGTCTCTGATGTGGGCTTCTGTGTTTCCTGCTCTTTCCTAGGAGGGGGGCTTAAGCCTGGTGGGTGGGGGAGCACGGGAGCAGGGGGAACCCTCCTTCCTGCAGGGGACTGCAGAGGTGGGCAGCTGTGGGGGCTCCAGCTGTGGCCCTAGCAGCTCTTGTATCCTTTCACTTTGCATCAGCTCCTTGTCCCTGGCCCACATCAACCCTGTCCCCGGCTCCATAACATTTGTTGGGGGTTTCAGAGAGCCAGAAACGGCTTTTCTCCCCTCACGGAACAGAATATGGCCACCCCAGCCCAGCAATGAGGTCTCTTTGGTGCCCAATTCATGCAGAACAAAAGGGAACAGCCTGTTGATGGGTGACTACCTTGGTGACTGGCTGTGCTGTGCCTTAGCAGGCCAGGGAAGGCGTCTTGTCTGCTGCCTCAAAGCCACCGGCCTCTGTGGCTCTCCTGACTGCATCTCTGACTCCCAGCCCGTTTCCATTCTCATATGACCATTAGTCACCAAATCCTGCAGGATTTCCTGAAAGAGGCTCTCCATACCTACCTGCTCCTCCTCTATCACTGCTGGGAGCCTCTGGCCTGGTCTGCTCTAGACCCTTCCATCTCCTTTCTCTCCTTCCTGTCAGCAAGGTCATTGCAGCCTGAAGATACTTGTTCAGTCAATCAACGTACCTCCCTTTGTGTTCCTTTGAGCCCATTCCTCCCCTCCTGGCACCTCACGCTTAAACTCCGAGCCGCAAGCCTTGTCATTGCAATTCCTTATGTCGGGAGCACCCTTCTCCACCTGGGACTCACGTCTTCCTGTGAAGTTCTCATCTCCATTAGAGTTGGTCACTTCATCCCCTGCGCCCCCATATCCTTTGTTCATTCCCCTCCTAGCACAGCCTCTTCCTGCGTAGAAGTCATTTGTGACACACCTATCTCTCCCACTAGACTGGCCTTCACTGTGTGTGCATGGCTAGGCGCTGCTCATGGAAGAAATGAAGATAGGTTTCAGAGCCACCCCTCTTTCTCCATGTCCCCTGGAAACACCCCGCCTCATACGCACCCAAACTCTACGCCTTGGAAGCTGCTTTTAACATTCAAGAAGCGAATTTCCTACCAGCCCCTGAATTTCCCCTGTAGGCACCAGTCATTCCTCAGCCAACAGGCCACAGGCACCACTCCCCACTTCAGCACCGTCACTGTCATTGTGTGGTTGTTTGGAGCCATTATTCACCGGGTGGTGATGAGGGTGGTGTTTTTTCTCTTTAAGTTGTTTATTCTGTGGAAGGTTCTGTTCTTGCTAGGGTTCAGGTTGGGTAGTAGTGGGGGTGACAGTTGGGCCAGAATGGTCCCCAAACACAGTCAGCCTTAGCTCAGCCTCTGGCACCTTGAAGTGAGTCCCCCAGGCACACCCTTTTGTCAAGGGAGGTGTATGTCCTCGTGCAGTTAAAGGGGCCTCTGCTCCATGCTTGAGAGGTCTGGTGGCCGCGTAGCGGGTTCCAAATCCAGTGCTCCTATCATCACACAGTGTTGCCCGCCATAGCAGGGTATGTTTACTCCTCCCATGACAGCTCTCACTTTGGAATCTGGCCAGAAACCTTGGCCTTTTTGGGCCCTGACATTCCACTCTCCTCTTCAAAGGTGGCCCTTGGGCTGCATGTCTGGAGGAGAGGAGGGTCTGGGAGTACAGGCCGTGGAAGGAGGGCCAGCGGGAGGCCCATGAGGTCAGGCCCCGTGGGAGACTCGCATCAGCTTCCCCGTCGCACCACCTTTGCCCTCTGAGCCTGGCTGTCCGCCTGTCTATGAGAACCCCTCCCGTTCTTCCAGCTGCTTCCCTGGCCCCTCGTTAGCACTCAGCTGTGAGCGCCTTCACCACTCTGATGCCAGTGACGGCCTTCTGCTGTTCCATAGCTTGGGACATGTTTGTCTCCTTCACCCCAAGCTCCCAGAGATCAGGGAGGATATCCTGTTCATCTTGTATTCCTGGAGGTGCCTGTTCATTTGGTCCAGATCAACTCTCATTCCTACCACCAGCCAGCTGCGTGGCCCTCACCGTCCTTCCCTGTCTGAGCCTCACCCTTCTCATTTTGCTATGAAGGTGCCTCCCAGCTGTGATGTTCCCTGGCTCTGAATAGAGAAGGAGAAGGGAGGCTGGGGTCTGAACGCTTTGTTTGGCCCCCATCTGTCTCCCAGGTGCAGGGCATGACTGGGCCTAGGCAAGGAGGTGGGCCACATCTTAGGAGGCCAGCCTGGCACTGAGGACCTGGAGTGAGCAGGGCCATCCGTGGGCCAGGCCCTGGGTTGAACTGTGTGCCGCCTCAGTCTCTTCACAGAGCCCTCCCAGCCCCAGCCTGAGGAGCCCAAGCCCGTGGAGATGGCCTTCCATCACTGCCACAGGGACCCCCTGCCGCAGCCCGGCCTCACCCCTGAGCGGCTGCAGGCTCGGAGGCAGCTGTATGCCGCCTGCGCTGTGTGCTTCGTCTTCATGGCTGGGGAGGTGGTCGGTAAGTTGGGGAGCAGCTCTCCAGCCCCATGCTCCCGACACCTGCCTAGGTCCAGGGGGTTCCTGGGTGAAGCGGAGAAGGTGGATGGCTGGGAGGGGCAGTGGGTGCGAGGACTCCAGAGGGGGAGGGAGTCAAGGACAGAACATACCGAGAGGTTCAGGGTAAGTGAGGCAATGCTGGTGTTAGTAACTGATCTTTTGAAATCCCTGTTTTCGAAAGGAAAAAGAAACCCCATTTTCTTGTTATTAAGATACAACATGTTGTTGTAGAAAATCTAGAAAATGTGAATGAATAAAAGAAAATAAAAGTTACCCATAATCCATCATCACCTGAGCAACCCCACAGTTCTCATCTTGATGTATTTCCCCCAATTTATTTTCTGTGCCTGTACTTACACACTATACCGTAGTATCTAAAAGGATTTTTTGTTTGTTTGTTTGTTTGAGACAGGGTCTATGGAGTTTAGGCTGTCTTTGAACTATGTATCCCATGCTGGCCTCAAACTTAAGCTTCCTGAGTGCTGGGACTATGGGGGTGTGCCACTATGCCTGGCACTACAAGGATGTTTTTGTTCTTATATTTGTGGTGCCAGTGATTGAACCCAGGGCCTCATGCATGCTAGGCAAGTGCTTCCTGGGTGAGCCACATCCCAGCCCCACTTCCTAAGGCAACCAGACTGCCCATCATTGTGCCCTACAGGTGGGTACCTGGCACACAGCTTGGCCATCATGACTGATGCAGCCCACTTGCTGGCAGATGTGGGCAGCATGATGGGCAGCCTCTTCTCCCTTTGGCTCTCCACCCGGCCAGCAACCCGCACCATGACCTTCGGCTGGCACCGCTCAGGTAAAGCGCCTGGATGACCCAGTGCCCCTCCGGTCTTGCCAGAGGGTACCCCTCAGGGTCCCCAGCAGTTCTCTGATAGCTTGTCTCCCCCTGCAGAGACTCTGGGGGCTTTGGCCTCTGTGGTCTCCCTCTGGATGGTCACTGGTATCCTCCTGTACCTGGCCGTCATCCGCCTGCTGCACAGCGACTACCACATCGAGGGGGGTGCCATGCTGCTGACCGCCAGCATCGCAGTCTGTGCCAACCTGCTGTACGTGCCAGTGTGGAGCAGGCACCTTGTGGGGCGCAGGGCGAGGAAGCTTCCTCCAGGCTAGGAGAGCTGGCTCTGCTCCCTACCGGACACACAGAGGGGCACACACGCTTCCCCTCTGTCCTGGAGATGCCTGAGAAGGTGCCGGGGACAGAGCCCTATAATTTGGAGTCCACAGACATTTGTTAAGGGCCCACTGTGAGCTGGCCCCTGAGGGATATGTAACCCCAGGCTGTGAACTCACCTTATGACCTCAGTCAGACCTCACAACCACGTAGGTCCCAGCAGAGCACCAGGTGACTGGCCTGTGTCGCTTAGCAGTTTAAGTAGCAGGGCCAGGATCTGAATCTAAGTCCCCAGCACCAAGTCCAGTATTTTTCCCCCAGGCTGCATGGTTTGTCTCTCTTGGACAGAGCTGGTTTATTCTTGGGGTGGGGAAACAGGTGGAGATGAGGCTACTGGGGAGGTGAGCAGAGGTAGCATGGACACGGGGCAGAGGAGGCCAGGAGCTGGCCGCCTGCGCTGTAACTGCTCTGCTTCCCCCTCAGAATGGCCTTTGTGCTGCACCAGGCTGGTCCCCCCCACAGCCACGGGTCTAGGGGGGCAGAGTATGCACCGCTGGAGGAAGGGCCTGGGGACCCCCTGCCCCTGGGGAACACCAGCGTCCGGGCAGCCTTTGTGCATGTGCTGGGGGACCTCCTGCAGAGCCTTGGGGTACTGGCTGCATCCATCCTCATCTACTTCAAGGTACACCTGTGGGGTGGGGGGGTGTCCCAGCCCTCCTCCCCTCTCCACGTGCCAGCCCCCACACTGGACCCCTCAGTCTGCCTCCCCCTTGCTCCAGCTCCTGCCTCCCCGTGCCCTGTCCCTCGTCCAGCCCCAGGTCATGTTCCCTTTCTCTTGTCAGGTCCTGCGTGTCAGGACCCCCACATCCTCCTCTGAGAGGTCCCTGGTCCCCGGGCTTAGAGGGTCTCTCTCTGCAGCCTCAGTATAAAGTGGCTGACCCCATCAGCACCTTCCTCTTCTCCATCTGTGCCCTTGGATCCACGGCCCCCACGCTCAGAGATGTTCTTCGCATCCTCATGGAAGGTGAATTGGGCCCCACTGCTCCCTAGGGCTCCTCTCTGACCTCGCCCCAGCACCAGAAGAGAGTATGGGAAGGCTGGGTCATGGGGCCTACTGCTAGAAGGAGGGTTGGGGTCCAAGGTGGCTCATGAGCCTCAACAGGGGGCCGGGGTACAGGATGGGGGAGGTGGAGTCTGGCAGGGCTGCCCCTGGGGGGAACAGCCCTGACAGATGTGGGGGATTCTGGCTGCAGGCACTCCTCGAAGTGTGGGGTTTGAACCTGTGAGGGACACACTGCTGTCAGTGCCAGGAGTCCGGGCAACCCACGAGCTGCACCTGTGGGCTCTGACACTCACTTACCACGTTGCCTCTGCACACCTGGCCATTGGTGAGTCTACGCTGGGACCAGCCTTCCCCAACCCAGCATGTGACAGTAGCCCGGGTCACTGGGAGTGTTCTAGTCTTTCTTGATCTCTCTGTCTCCATCTTTCTCTGTCTCTGTCTCTCTCATACACACATACACACACACACACACACACAGAGACAAGGAAGCCTGACCGCTGTGTTTTGGGAAGGTTTCACCTAACCTAGCACCGGGAGCCAGCAGTCCTTTAAGAGATCAGCAGTGCCCACAGAGCTAGTGATGGGATGCAGTTAGGTAACCGGCACCGCCGCTCGTTGGGGTATCACGTACCTATTAACAGTGATGACTATGAAGTCTGTATGGCAACTAGGAAGAATGTTTATGGTAGAGTGCTGAGAAAAAAGCTGAATGTAAAATTATATCTACATTATGATTCAACTATTAAAAATATATATGGTGACTCATGAGCTGACAAAGGATTTTTGAGTTTCTTCCAGATGCAAGAAGCAATCAGAGGCATGCAATTTGGATGCCAAAAATATCATAACTTGTGGGATATATGGTGGTAACTCTAGAGGGACAATGGGACAGAATATTTAACGTCTGGATTGTCCTGGCAATGCGGGTGCTATGGCTGTTGAAACAGCTTGCTGTACATTGGTACTCCAAGGCAGAGGAGAACAGAAGACTAGGCACAGCGAAGTATTAGCATGGTCGATAGGGGCGAATCTGTCTGACAGATTTTGTACAATCCAGAAAGAAAAGCAATCCCCCATTCACGCGTGGCTCTAAGGCTGCCCAGCCCTTGGGCCCCTTTCATTTGTCCTTATCGAAGCCCCTGACTGTTCCCTGGCTCCCTGGGGACTGAGGCTGTCTCTTATCGCTCTCCCGCAGACTCCACGGCGGACCCCGAAGCTGTCCTGGCTGAAGCCTCATCCCGTCTCTACTCCCGGTTTGGATTCTCCAGCTGTACCCTGCAGGTCGAGCAGTACCAGCCTGAGATGGCCCAGTGCCTGCGCTGCCGGGAGCCCCCGCAAGCCTGAGCCACGACCCTGCCCCCACCCCACTGCCAGGCCAGGCTCAGCCCCGATCACAGGGACAATCATGGAGACGGGACAGAGCCGGGTCCACACCCCTTCCTTTCCCCGCCTTCCACCTGCCAAATGCTCCAGCCCCAGCCCCAGCTCCGGCCCAGTGGGCAGAACCAAAGTCAGGGGAGAGTGAGGGGTCAGGCTGTGAGCAGTTCAGGGGTGGCGTGGTGTGTGGGAACCCTAGGGACTCCTCTACACAGTCTGGGGAGCTGCGCATGTCTTTTCTGTGCCGTCCGTGTGTCTGTGTGTCTGACTGGCCAGCTGGGGGTGTCTGCCTGTCTGTGTGCTGTTGGTGTGCCTGTGCCTGGGGAGGTCAGCCGGGGCCCCCTCCCCATGTGGCCCTAGCTCTGTCTATGCAGGGGCCCCAAGCCTGCACTTTGTCCACGTGTCCTAGCCCTGTGGTCTTGTCTGTGTGTGTTTCTTGGTGCTGTGGCCTGTGTGTCTTTGTGCCTGTGCGGCTGTGCTGTGGTCTCTGTGAGTCTGCTCCATCCACATCCGTGGGAGGGTTTGTCTGTCCATCTCTGTTGGTGCTGTGCCCTTGGCTATCCCAGGGAGAGGGAGGACTCCTCTGCAGCTCCACCAATAAACTTGTGTCCAACTGCATTTTTCAACTCTGTGCCTCAGAAGGGGGATCTCATGGGCCGTGTGGGTTTGGTAAACTCTTGCTGGAGTGACTTCCCATGACTCTCCTGGCCCTTCCTAGCCCTCTCCCCTCTCTCCCTTCAGCCATTCAGATGGAGGCTGAAATCGACCGGCCTCTTCCGCCCCTCCCGTTTCACAGGGGGAGTCCCCGTGTGCCCAGGGCTTAGTTGTAGGAGAAAGCTGGAAAGCAGGGGCCAAGGGATCCAGGGGAGGCATTCATGATGAAAAGCCCCAGTAGGCCAGGACTCCTCTGGCTGGTTGGAGGGAAGCCAGGTCCATTTCGGGGTGAAGGATTGAAGCACAGAGCTGATGTGGGCTTGGACCTCACGCTCTGTAAGGTGCCCTTTGGGAGGGGGAGGGGACAGCGAACCTGAGTCCAGGCATGTGCTACATGTGGACACCAGGGGCCTCTTTTACACGTAGTTCCCTTTGTCTCAAAAAACCTTAAATTTCAACAGAGTTGGTGGCACAAAGCATCCTCACTAAGGGATTGTTGATAGTCCTTTTTGAGAAAGCCAACTCCCTGTGCTTTGATTTTAGATCCAGTTAAGTGGTCCTCCCCCTATAAGTTGACAGGATTCCAGCCCAGAGCAAAGGCACTAGGTATTTTCTGTGAGGCTTTCTTATCTTCACTATGAACTGATTTTTATTTCTATTAGAAAAGGAATATATGCCCTTTAAAAAGTCCTTCAGAGGAAGAGAACATGCCGTAGAAAGTGAGTTTTCCTGGAGGTGACTGCCAGTCACAGTGAGGTCCGCTCCGACCGCGTGCACACCGGCATCTCCTGATAGCTTGCGGCGTGTGGGCTGGAATAAGTGGCTTGTGTGAGCACTGGGCAGCCCGGACGCACCATACGTATGGATTTCATGGCATTTTCAAAGATGAAGCTTTTGGACGCTGAGAGTAGGTCCCCTCAGTGCTGCCAGCTGGGATGACGGCTGGCAGTGGCCGGCGAAGAGGCCTGGCCAGGGCAAAGGGCTGGGTCCACCCACTCAGGCGGGCGGGGGAGGCTGCCCCAGCTGCTCTCCACGCTCTGCTGGCTCCTGACACTTTCTCATTTTACGTCTCATTGATTCCGGGCCCCCTGTGACAGGATGGGGGTGGGGAAGAGTGGGAAAAAGGAGGAGAGCAGAGCAGGTTGGGGAGGACAGGCTAGGCTAATCTACGCGGCTGCCCGGTGTGGGTGCCCGGTGCGGGGAGGGAACAGAATGAGACCCACACTTCTAGTCTGTCTACCGCCCCACGCTCATCAAGACAATGATGAAGCCGAGGCTCAGAAGCTTCCTTGGAGTCGCCTGCCAGTGATGGAGACAGGACCCAGGTTCCCATCCACCCCTGAAGCCCTTTGAAGCACAGGTGTGCCGAGTTTCCACAACCTTTCTCCGCCTCCTAGCTCCCCGCGGCGCTGGCACACCCATTTCTGGGGTTCTGGGCCCTGGAGCCAGGCTCCTCCATCCTGACGTTGCCTTGTGCTGATCCTGGCCATAGTTAAGCTCATCTCAGCTTTCCTACTGCTCTACTGAGATGGGCAGTACGCGATGCTGTGGATGTGAGCGTGACTGGTACATGGGGGGCGGGTACGCAAAGGTTAGCTTGGGTCAAACCTGGGCTGCAGAGAGTCCAGGGGAATGGGGTAGTCCAGCACCATGACAGCACAGGCCGGAACCAACATTTGTTGAGCTTACACTTGGTGTGAGATGCTGTGCGGTATGTGGTGGTATTTACACCTTACAGATGGAGGAACAGAGACTTACTGCCCGGTCACCTAACTGCTGTCAGAACTGAGATTTGAAATCTGTTCCTGCTTCAGGGCGTGCCCGGACCCTTTTCCTTGCCACTCCACCTTTCTGGCCTCCTTCAGGCAGCTCATCATTTGAGAAGGGACCAAGGGACCTGGAGGGGCAGGAGGATCAGCAGACTGGTGGCAGGAGCATTCTCCCTCACCCCCTGGTACTCCTTGTCCACCCAAGGGAGCCCAGGAAGCCTTATCTGCAGAGCTGCCTGCACCATTCCATCTGCATAGTCCCGGCCCACCCCCTCCACTGGCTTATCTGGGAGTCCCTTTCTCTGGGGCTCTTTCCTCAGACGACAATGCAGCCAGGAGGGAGAGGTGAGGGGAAGGGGCTGAAGGAAGGACCCATCCGTCGGCCAGCCCTGCTCTTTACACAGCTGAGTGACCAGGAGGAGGGGAAGGGCAGGGGCCAGGGAACAGAGCGGGGCTGAGACGGAGAGGAGGTGCAGGAGGATGCAGTCGTCCTGCTGCCGGCACTGTAGGAACTCTTCAAAGGACGACTGAGACGAAGGGGCCTCTTGGGACAGCCAGGACAGGGCCAGATTCTCCCGCTTCTAAAAGGAGTGATCCTTTCGTAATTGAGAGGCTTTTTATCCCCAACTCTCTAACCTCCCTTTCCCCAGCTCAGGGGCCTCACCGTGTCTGGCCTGAGCCCCTGGGCCACCCAGCAGCATCCAGTCAGTACCCTCTACGGAGCTCTGGGCAGCTCTAGATCCCAGTGAGACGAAGCCTGAGGTCTCACACATGCCCCCACAGCCACAGTGGCCCTCTTGCTAGGTTACTAGGTAGGGAGGAGGACCCGGGTAGTCAGAACCTGTGCCTCCCTCCTGGCCCCTACCACCTGCCTCTCTGTGCTCTTGTCACTGCCTGGGCCTGCCCCCGCGTCACTCACCAGTGCCCTGGCTGCAGCATTCTGAGGACAGGAAGCCGCCAGGGGCTGGAGAGCTCACTCAGAGGACACGACCCGAATGGCCCCATCGTTCAATCCGGTTGTTTTGTTCCTGTTGGCCCAACAATAATGGACCATCAGTTTTAAGAGGACTGTAGCCAAAAGCCTGGGGAGAAACAAAAGAGAACCAAACCCAGTCATAAAAAGGGTTGAAACACTTCCCAAAGTAAGCAGGCTTCAGACCCAGGCGGCAAACCTCTTCCCTTGACCATGAAGTCTGTCTCCTTCCATCCCACCCACCTACTGGGCCACAGGGACAGTGGGAAACTGCCCTGCGGGTGGCACTGTCTTTGAAGGAAGGCCAGTTTACCTCTCCAGCCCTTAGGTCACAGCCTGGAGCCGGGCAAATGCTCTGTGATGCCTGCCTGTGAAGGAAGGAATGAGGGAGTGATGGTGAACAGACAGACACAGAGCTGATGGCCTGTTCCCCGCTGCCAGGTCAACACCACATCCCCGTGCTGAGCAAAGCATTTCTCACATGCTGACCTCCCGGCCTCATGTGCAGAAGCATTTGATGGCACCTGGGCAGTTGCCTGTCAAGGAGGTAGCAGTTATACTCCCAAGGTCCTCCACAGGGGGTGACAGACACACTGCTTCCCCAACCCCACCAAAGACTCTCCAGGCCCCGAGTCCCTGCATGGAGACCTTTCTACTGCTCTTCTGTGGACTCATCCCGGTTTTCCCAACCTCTCCTAGGCTCACCCAGGTCCCAGTCCCAGTGTCTCCTCCTTGGCTCTTGCCAGATGACCTCAGCCTCCTTACTGAGTGTCACTCCACAAGACGTGCCCGCCTTCCCACACAGCGTCTGAGGGACAACTGACCCTTGCCTTGGCCAGATACAGGGTCTGATTCTGTCAATCTCCTCCCCCTTACACCTGGAGCTTGGGTGTCTTGGCAGGGGTTGGGGGCTTTCTTCTGAGTCCTTTCCCCAGCCTTTTTTTTTTTTCAGGCAGGGTTTCGCTATGCAGTTTAGGCTGGCCTTGAACTCACATTGCAGCCCAGCCTGGCCTTGAACTCATAGGGATCCTCCTGCCTCAACCTCCCGAGTGCTGGGATTACAGGCATGCACCACCATGCCTGGCTTATTTTGTTTGTTTGTTGAGACAGGGCCTCACTATGTAGCCCAGGCTGGCCTCAGACTCGCTGTGATCCTCCCACCTCAACTTTCCATGTGCTGGGATTACAGGCATGTGGCACCATGTCTGGCCTTTTCCCATGCTTTCACAGTCAGGCTTGTTTCGGGTTGGATCTAAAGTGTCTCTTAAAAGACTCATGTGTTCGGAGGTGGGGTTTGTAGAAGGTGATTGGATCATGAGGGGGTCTATTAGCCCATTAATAGATTGGTAATTTGATGGCCTTATTGGGAGGTGATGGAAACTTATGAGATAGGGTCTAGTTGAAGGGAGCAGACAATGGGGCTGTGACCTTGGGGGCTGTCTTGTCCCTAGCCACGTCCTTCTGCCATGATGTTCTGCTTTGCCTCAGGCTCAAAGTAATAGAAGCAGCAGATCATGGACTGAAGCCTCTGAAGCTGTAGGCCAAAGTGAACATATCCTCCTTCAGTGACAGCTGACTGACATAAAGCTTTAGACCTGTGCTCCTTGGTCCTTGCTCCTTTCTCTCAGTAAACTGACTGATGCAAATATTCAAAAGCCCTCCAATATCTGGAACACATTATGTGTTCCACGGGGTTCACCAGTGAACAAGGCTCCCGTTCTCCTGGCTCTTATGTTATTTCCATGCTGCACATTTACCTGCCACACCCTGCTCTAGACCTGCCTGACATCCTAGAGCTGGCCTACAGCAGTGGGTGAGTATCACACCCAGCAGAATCCATCACCTTCTACCCCACACCGGCTCTCTGGGCTGTTTGCATCAGTCCTTGCTATGGTTCGGACATGTTTTGGGTCTCTGAAGGGTTTATCTGTTGAAATTCAATCCTCATTGTGAAGTATGAAAAAGGCAGAAACTTAATTCAACTGTGGTGTTTGCAGGTGGAGTCTTCAGGAGCAAAGTCAGCAGTGTGGACCCTCTGTGATTAAATCCCGGTGGGTTTATAAGAGACCAGAAGATAGTGTGCTTTTTTTTGTACTAGGGATCGAGCTAGGAAAGTGCTTTACCACTGAGCTACACCTCCTGCATCCCCCATGTTTGAGACAGGGTCTTGCTAAGTTGCCCAGGTGAGGTTTGAACTTGTGGTCTTCTTGCCTCGTCTTCTC